GAGGGAGGCCTTGAGTTCCCCATTTTCAGACCCAAGCTAAGAATGCAAAATTGACTGTGTAACCCCCTGTCCCTGCTTTTAAAACATCAGCATCTGTTTTAAAGCATTGTTTTAAAAAAAAAAAAAAAAGTAAGGCCAAATTATACATGTGAGCTGGCAGCTCTAGTCCCATCAGCAACTTCTGGAGAAGCCCAGAGACTCCCCGAGGTGTTCTCAGAGGTCTCCTCCTGCTCTGCTCAGCGAGGATAAGAGAATAATAAATTGGCCTCTTCTCCATCCAATTAGGCAGCCGCTGTATCCTCCCCATGCTCACAAAAGGAGGAAAATGAACAGGATCATCCAGCCCTTTGATTCACATTAGACCAGTAACAGCAGCACCTCTTTGTGGCAGTCTGGGAGTTAGAGAAAACCCAAGCTCAGCTTGCACACTGAATGACCTCCTGTTCTCTGCAGCTCTTGAGTCATCCCAGCTCTACTCAGGGGCAAAGCTGGGGTGCCTTAGGAATGGGTCAGCCTGTGAGCCTGTTGCCATGGTAACCTACAATTTCCCAGAGCCATGCAACCTTTAGTGGCCTCCTGTGTGTTACTCCAGGGCTCCAGCTCACAGCCTGTCCTCCAGATAAGGTCAGCACCAAAAGGACACATTCCTTAAGGTGTCTTTCTCAAGAGGGAATGTGGAAAGTGGTCCCTACTGGGCATCTGTCTGAGCAAAGAGACATCCTCTCAGTGGCCTCTGTTTTTTCATCTGTAAAATGGAGGCGTTTGCTGTGCTGACCTTGAAGCTGAGGTCTGAGAGTTCTCACTTTGATCTCTGAGTGTTCAACAAGTATGAGGAAGGACCACTTTCTGGTCTGCCGCCATTAGTCAGAGCTCAGGAAGGCAGTCTGTCGGCTCTCTTCCTAAGACATGTCTGGACTGTCTGTAGCAGGATATAGGACTCCCACTCTTTTTGTATTTTTATAGTTAGTTTAAATTTTTAATTATATGTCTGTACACAGAAGCAGGTGGCCGGCTGACAAGAATCATCAGATGCCCACAGAACTGGAGGTATGGCTGGTTGTAACCCACTTGGCATAGATCCTAGGAATGCTCCCAAGTTAGGATGCCAGTCCTCTGAAAGAGCAGCACGCACTCTTAACCACTGAGCCATCTTGACAGCCCAGGCCCAGCACATTCTATAACTTCCTCCCCTGTGTGGAGAGCACTGTCTCCCCCTGTCTCTTCGGCTTTCCACGTAGTCCACCGAAGCTCTCTTCCTTCACTCTGGTCCCCTGATCCTCACCCTCCTCTGATCTCTCTTAGGCTCCCTTCTAATGGCCACTGACATGCTCACTGCCATTTCCCTGTGGTATGGAGGAACAGCGTCGGTCGTGCAGATGCGTCTTATCTCCTTGGAGACAATGACCTCATCCTATTCTTTCTTTCTACTGTAGCAGTGTGGCTTCGACATAACAGGTGTTAAGTCAATATTTGCCAAAGATCTGTTAAGTGAATGAATCAATTAGATTCCCTGAAATAACCAGGGAGATTCGGTGAGTGTTAGTCAGAAGTTTGAGAGCTCTTCGTGTTCGCGATGGATTTGAACCAAACCAGAGGAAACTTCCAGAGCTATCAGTAGTACTCGTAGACCTGTAATGCTAGTATTTGGGATGCAGATGCAGGAGGAGCATAAGTTCTGGGCCAGGCTGGGCTACATGGTGAAAGACTATATATAAACAACAACAACAGCAAACTCCTGCGTGCAGAGTGCTATTTTCAATTACGTGGAATATTCTTGTAAGTCTCCCTTTTGATAACTGTCATCTCAAGATCCCAGCCAAGGATGTTAAGAAAGATTAGCAGAGTGATGTTCCCAGGATCTTATTGGTTCTCACTGACAGACACCAAACTAGAACCAAGTCACTTCCCTGGAAGTGGAGCAGGGAGAAAAAATTATTTGCATGCATGCCCTAAATTTGGGAACTGGTTTCAGAAAACCCTGATAGGAGGTAAACCGAAAGAACAGGAAGCCAGGAAGAGGGTCAGTAAGGAAGATGTCTCGGCAGGCAACTGAGAGGACAAGCCTCAGAACCAACCTCCACCCAGCAAAGCAGCATGGGTGTGTACCCACCAATTCTCACCCTTCTGGGATGGCAGGGCAGAGGCTGAGCACACGAACAAGGTACAGAGAGAGGAGCAGGTGTGTGCAGTGAGAAGCCGCTGTTGCCCATGGTGATGGTACCGGCCACAGGATGTGGGCCAACATTCTCTATACCAGGATGGGCTGGTGAAAGGAGGAACACCTGGGGAAATCAGGCATCTTGGGCACACACGTCAAGGTGCCCTCACTGGGTGCTAAGGCTTGCTCTTCTTTCAACCAGGGCCACAGCTCAGCCTTGCTCACAAACGGCACATAAAGCACACACAGGTCTTACAAAGCTCCCGTTTCCCAGCGTTCTGGTCTAGGGCTGGATGGGGGACACTTCCTCCAAGGCATTGTGATGGGTTCAGAACACTCCTGGTTGTTATTCCCATGACCCCATCAGCCTCCTTTATGTATGCTACACCTCACAGCTGGGGACTTGACTCCCTGGGTTCAAACATGCACCATGGCAACCTGACCACCTGAGCTAGATCTCCAGAACTCAAGCGAAAGCCTGAGACCATGGAGTGTGGCTGTAATCCCAGTGCTCCTATGGTGAGGTGGGAAATCCAGGGAGTCCCCAGGACGCTCATGGGCCAGCTAGCCTGGAGTAGGCAATGCATCTACACACAAGAGAGACCTGCCTCAAAAACAAAGAGAAAAGTAAAGACCAACATCAGAGGACGGATGGACAGACAGACATACACACATTTTAGAACTATTAACATATTAAAACATATTAAAAAAAATCCCCAGATACTCCTCACTGTTGTGGAACAATATTTCTGTACTCTGTAAGGATGTGTCTTTGCCAAGGTGCCTTCTGACTGGTTTAATGAAGAACTGAATGGCCAATAGCTTGGCAGGAAGTTTGGCAGGACTTTTGGGGAGGAAAAAAAAAGAAGAAAGGACATGAATTGAGGTCTCTGGCAGATGGCAGAGGACACAGAGAGGAAAACAGAAGGTGCAAAATGCAAAGAGAAGAGGTAAAAAGTCCTGAGACAAAATGTAAATTAATATAAATGAGTTAATTTAGGTTATAAGAGCTAGTGGGACAGGCTGAGCTTTTATAATTAATAATAAGTCTCCATGTTGTTTTTGTGAAGTGTCTGCCCAAAGAAAAGTCCATCTACACATCACCTGTGGAAGGAGAAAGAGGTGGTGCCTACAGGGCTAAAGAGCTTTGCTTAGGGTCACTGGTGTAGTCAGTGCCAGATCCACACTTGAGCATTGCCGGATTCAGAGGCCATTTCTGATTTAATTTTTATGTTCTTATTTGAAAGGGGGAAATGCTGGCCTATTGACCCCCTCGATGACAATCATAAAGGAGCTTTTCCCGGTGCAAATGTCGGTGAGCTCCCAGGTCAACAACTTGATGACTCCCCACCAAGCAGACAGAGGCCTTCCTGGGGTACGCATGGGAATCTAGCTCTTCCCTCCACCCAAAGCGACTTCCCTGCTGTCCCTGCTGGTGAGCCCGAGGCTTTCCCCACCAACCTCCAGCTCACTAATGCCTTTCCTAGGCTCAGCTTCCTGGGGAGTCTGTGTGGTCAAAGGAAGGGAAGGGAAATCTGGGCTCGAAGGAAAGAAAACTATTCCATCCTCCTCTTTAGGGTTCTGCCTCAGTCTGACAAGAAATGAACAAAGACAGGCTAACAGGAGGAAAGTGCGTGTGTGTTCTGTGCTACAAGCACCTCTGGGGGGAAATAAAGACCAGAAAGATCTAAAAAAGAGTGTTGTCACACTAGATTTGGTGGAGAACAGAAGGCCAGAGGAAAGGGGCATAAGCTGGCTAGACATGGCAGTGCACACCTGCAATCCCAATGTACAGGAAGTTGAGGTAGAAGGTTCCAGAGTTCAAGGCCAACATGATAAAGTACAAGAAATACACAAATCAATGAAGGTTATAAGCTAATATGGTGGGGAAATGGCTGTGTTTGCCCTAAGTTACTCCGTGTGATCTACACCGCGGTTTTTTTCACTGTGCCATGACCCCAGAGACTCCATTTCATAAGCAGCCTTTGACTCTGTTTTGAGGATGGAGGCTGACGCTACACCTGGGTGAGCATGTGAGCAACCCTGACTGTCGGACAACATCCATGCAACACAGCCTGGTGATGATTTATTCCTCAGAGGAGAAACGGAGTCACCTTGTAAATTTACCAGGCGTTCTGGGAGTGCAGGGGAACAGGAGAGTCATCATAAAACCCAGGCCCAAGACCCTACCAGACACACCAGTCCAAGGTAAGGTGAGAAATCCTTCACCTGGAGCCCACAAACAGGTGGACAGCTAGCACTGAGATGGCAATGGCTCATCTACCCTCCACCCAAGGGACCAATAGGCAGAGAACTCCAGCCTGTCTAGGGGCTTCAGCTCTATCTGTCCCTGCCCTTGACGGAGCCTGCTCAACTTGCCATCTGCTCCTCTGCCCCGTTCACTATCTGGACCTGCTCTCCATGTGTCTGTTCTTCTATATGGAGCCAGTCCTGTCCTTTTCATCTCTGCTCCTGATCTCAGCACCTCAGCCCTGTTCCAACCTGTAGCCTGGTGGCGGCACACGGCAGCGGCAGCATCAGCACCAAGGCCCCTCCGTGTAGGGATAAGCCCTCCCCTTGTGGGCGGGCTGCCCTCGGGCGTATGTTTACTGATAAATTAGGCGCAGAGAGGCTGCGCTTCCCTTCCCTTCCTCCCTGTCTCCACCGGCTACTCCGCTGGAACCTTGGTTTCGTGAGTCTGGTTTTGTTATTAAACTTGTTCAAATACCTATTATCATTGGTGCTTATTAATCCAACCGCTGCACCTCCGGGTGCAGATAGCTAGCTGATTGGTTATCTCATTTTGACAGACTCCTTTGCATTTCTTCCCACTCAGGCCTCAAGACTGAAATAAAAGAACCCGTGCCTGCTTCTTTCAGCCAGGACCATCAGTTAAGGCCCATGGGGAAAACTGCTGCTGATGAAAACCCCACAGCTCAGAAATTTATTGTTATTCAAGAAAGTCTGACAAGGTAAAGAGACACAACTGTGTTCATCTGTGTTTCAGACACAACGTGTCATAACACTGAGCAAGGCATCTTGGGGGTCCCTGTCTTTGTGGGTGAGGATGTCCTTTCACTTTGGGCATGAGGAGGAAGACTTTTCCACATCACGAAAAGGCTAGAACTACTGCTTCCTCTTCTGGCCTTCAAATTCCTCCAGCTCGGGGCAGTACATTCCGAAGCTGTCAAACTGCCGCACAATTTATTTCATTCAGAATTCAGAATGGGAACTCATAAGATTATGTCCACGTGCCCCTCAACAGGACTCAAACCACTGAGCTACAGCCCCAGCCTCCCACCCCGAGTTTTTCTCCCTTTGGGACAGATGTTCACTAAGTTACACAGACTGGCCTTGAACTCCCTCCGCCCAGGCATACCTCAAACAGAACATCCTAAGAGTCTTGTGTCAAAGCCTCCCAAGTAGTGGGAAATATATGAACAAGCCAACTTTTTTTGGGTGAGGGGAGGTGCTTTTTTGAGACAATGTCTCATGTAGCCCAGGCTGGCCTTAAACTTTCTGTGTAGCCAAAGATGATCTTGAACTTCTGATCCTACTGTCTTCACCTCCCTGGGTTTACAGGAATGGACCACCATGTCCACTGACTGTTTTCAATCAGTGAGATGAACTCCTTTGAAGCTGGTTCCCCTAAACTCCACACATACACAGACTCCTTATTGCTGGGCATCTTCAGGCCATACTGGGGCTGCCAGATTTACACCCCTGGGCAATTTACCCCTGGGATCTCTTCTTTCTCAGAATGTCAAAACAAGATCCCAAGATTCCAGGAGCAAGGCTTCTGCTTCCAATGCATTCTGTGGTGGTCAGAGGAACACAGGATATAGAGGGCCCCACAGACCCCTGGTTCAAACCGATTAGTGTCGCCTGAGTCATCTGTGCCCCAGAATGTGGTGAACACAAGTCTGTCTTCCAATGCTTTGTGGAGGACTGTTTCCTGAATCTTCTAACCCACAGGGCTCTGCCATGAGGGGGTAGCAGTGGGGAATGGTAGAGAAAGGGTAAGGGAGTAGGGGAGAGGTAGGACAACAGTAGCTCGAAAATCTCACAGGTCTGAGGCAAATGCCCCTGGACAGCAATGCCAATGGCCACTTGTATTAGCACTCCCTGTGTGATGGGAGACAAGTGCCCCAGGTTCCTATAACTCTCATACCAGCCAGAAAAGCTGAGGATCACTACTGTGCCTGCCTGCCGTGCCAGGAGTCAGAGGCCTGATGCTTTCTCTCAGGAATACCCAGCCAACAGAGGGAGCCAGGCCAAGCCCAGAGTCCCCAATCCTCAGTGCCACTCCCCGGGTCTCATGCTCGAGCTCCCTGAAGGTTGGAGTTTCCTTCCTTGTTCTCTTACTGACTTCTCCAACTGTAAGCTGCAGTGGAGGGTAGCCTGAGGATCAGGGAATGTGTAGGTCTTGTAGGAACCCAGATAATGGAAAGAAACTGAGACGAAAATGTCCTGGATTCATGGCGCTGGGAAGGTAGCTCAGTGAGTAAAATGTGGGCCACTCAAGTTCAGCTCCCTGGCCACAGGTAAAAGCCAGCATGGTGTCTCACACCTATAACAGTGCTGAGGAAGCAGACAGGCCTATTTCCTAGAACGGGTTGACCAGTCCAGAACAATTGGTAAGCTCCAGGTTCATCAAGAGATCCTCTCTCAAAAAATAAAGAGGAAAACAATAGAAGAGAACACTTGACATCAACCTCTGGCTTCCATGTGCATATGTATATATACACATGGCATGCACCTATGCACACACACAGACAAATATACTGCGCAAGAGAAGGTAATGTCCCGGATTCAAATTCTGACTCTGTCCTATGGCTGAGCCTCTAGCTGCCTCACCCCTGGTAAATGCTAAGTAGAAAATGTGTAATTGTAAATTCTATCTTGCTGGGTCTATTAGAAAAACTTTGGGGGCAGTTGTGTTCTAAAGTCCTCATCTGTGGAAGTTGGGACTAGAAAAGATTTTACAGGTGACATTTATGCAGTAGGATGAGGAAAAAGTGAGTTGGGGGAGGGGAGGATGGAAAAGCTTCTGATCCACAGAATAGTCAGCCAATGCTAATCTGTAGAGTGGAAAGGAAGGGCCCAGAACTTGCTTCCCAGGGCCCTGCTGGGCTGGAAGAAGGTGACACGCAGGAGGCCCTGAGCCTAGGAACATATCATATGAGGAATGAACAGTCTCGCTGCAGCATGCACCAGCCGGTGGCTAACAAAACCTGAGCCTCATCATGGATGAGGCCCACCTGCAGGAGGGAATAGGATGTAGAAGAGGGGTCCTTGAACTTCATAGAGCCACATGGAAGCACAGTGGGCTTCAAGGCCTGTGTGATAAGCCATCACATGAGGTTCTGCCACCATTGCTCTGGGCTCGACTCTGCTGGGCTGTCGCCATGCACAGACTCCGCATAGCTTCTGAACAAGGGACCTCAGGTTCTCAACGGCATGGGCACAACACTCAGTTTTGCCTAGGGACTGTGTTACACCCCAGATAACTGGTACCCCCTCCAGGGGTCCTGACTCTGTAGGTACGAACTGAAGTACAGAATGAATAAATGGAAAAACAGGCCCTGTGTTTGTTTACACACTGACTGATCAGCACTTCTGTGGTTGTGGAGTTGAAGAGATAGCTCAGAAGTTAGGAGTACACTCTGCTTCTGTAGAGGAGTCAGGTTTGATTCTCAGCACCCATGGGAGACAGCCTTCACAGTGTCTGAGTTCATGTACACAGGCATCCACACAGGCATACAATTAAAAATTAAATAAGTCTTTAAAAATATCTTGGGCCAGACATATGTGCCAGTACGTAATTTTCGTCACAGCACTTAGAGGTAGAAACACGTGAATTCTTTGAGTTCAAGGCCAGCCCGGTCTACATGGTGAGTTCCAGGTCATCCAGGGCCACATAGTGAGATTCTGTCTCAAAGAAAAAAATAAAAAAAAAAAAATAAAAGCCCAGTTTTTGTGGTTGTGCAAAGTTAAAATGTTGCAATTCTGGAGCCAAATTATTTTGGGCTATCTTTAGTTCTTTTCCTGGAATGTACAAACAGACTGTGTCTTCCAATAAGCCCAAGGCCAAGCACAGTCATCAGACAGCATCTGAGGCCTACAGCAAAGATGCCCTGCTTTCCTGTAACCCACCTGCCTGATGCTCCCCCCAGCACATTTTTTAAAAGACTTGGTTTATGAATTTCTTTGCTCTGTTACTGAGAAACCTTCCTGAAACGGCTATCATGGTGGAACACGGTACTGGGGAGATCCTGAACATGTGTTCCTGGGTCACGGTCGTTCATGTCTGGCTTCAGAATAAACTGTCTCTTATTTCCTCTGAGGTCAGAGCTGTGTCTCTGCCACTTACTGAGGGTACAGAAGCGTTGATTTCATCTTGATGAAGCCAAAGAGGTCAGAGGTCATTATCAAGATGAGCCGGAAAAGGTCCAAGCATTCACAGAACAGGGAAGGTCAAGGGTGAGTGTGTGTGTGTGTGTGTGTGTGTGTGAGAGAGAGAGAGAGAGAGAGAGAGACAGAGAGAGAGAGACAGAGAGACAGAGAGACAGAGAGAGAGAGAGAGAGAGAGAGAGAGAGAGAGAAAGGGAGAGAGAGAGAGAGAACGCGCGAGAGCGAGAGAGAGAATTTGAGTGTATGCTTGAGTGTGGAGTCACTCAATCTCAAGTGTCATCCCTCAGATCCTGTCCACCTTGTTTTCTGAAACAGCATCTTGCATTGGCCTGGAGCTCATATAGGCCGGACTGGGTGGCCAGTGAACCCCAGGGCTCTGCCTGTCACCAGTTTTCCAGTGTTTGGGCTATAGTCATGCACCGCCATACCCAACTTTCTTATGTGGAACCTGGGGATTCACTCTTTACGGACTCAGTCATCTCCTCCGCCCAGGGATTAGGCAGCTAGTTCTCCCCACGTAGAGGCATTCTTTGCTCAGCCTGCCAGAACAGGAACAGAATGGGGTTTCTGTTTCTGGCTGTGTCTCAGGCTGTTTGTGGGGTGCTGAGTGAGAGGCGGGTTCTCACTCTGCCTCTGTGGACGGGGTGGTGGCACTGTATCCCTTTATCTTCCTCATGGCCATGAAGGAGCTGAGGCAAAACACTTCACATTGGCATTGGGTTTCTTCACGCTGACATCGCCTGGGCACTTAGCTACAGAAAGGGCCCAGCAGCCTGTCCATCCTACATGAGCGAGCTACATGTGGGAAGCATCTCCCATAGGAGGTCCTGGGAAATTGCCTGGCTCCCTGGAGTTCCAGGGCTGTGAGGAGCTTGAGCAAACCATCCCTGAGGCAACTCTTCCCTCCCACAGCTCCCTGTCTCACCCCACCCACCTCTAACAGAAGCCTTCAGTCTACATCCCACTCTAGACAACAACTCACCCAGCTTTCCTTCACAGACTTAGTTAGTTCTCTTTCTAAAGGGAAGGCGCTCATTGTGCCTTTAGCTTCTCTTTGGACTTCACTGTCCTGTGAGAATGAGAACTTAATTCGACTCATCTCTTTCCTGGAGTCCCTCGGTTTGTCTATGAAGCAGTTTCATAGACAAAAAAATCTACATAGACCTAAGGAGGTAGAATGATTCTCTCTCTCTTTCTCTCTCTCTTTCTCTCTCTCCCTCCTTCTCTCTCTCTCTCTTCCTCTCTCCCTCCCTCTCTCTCACTTTCTCTTCCTCTCTCCCTCCCTCCCTCCCTCCTCCCTCCCTCCTTCCTTCCCTCCCTCCCTCCCTTTCTCTTTCTCTCCCTCCCTCCCTTCCTCCCCCCATCCCTCTAGTATAGTTTTTGGATATCTCAATGTGAAGGCATTTTCAATTACAAATTTTACTCTCATATTTTCATACAGGCAGATTCTCTTACCATTTCCCACATTCTCTTGTCTCCTGGGTGACCTGTAACGCACCATGCTTCGAACCCCTTTAAACAACTTCTCAAACAAACAAACACCCATGAGCCCCTCAACAACTGAGCAGCCATGAACTAGAAGCACCATAAACAGGGCAGAGACAGGATAAATTCCAAGTAAGTGGTACCGGGTTCTAGAATGTGGAAAACGAGAGCTGGATTCTACAGTAGAATCCAGAAGAATGGGGGAAGCGGGAAGTGACATGGAGGGTCTCATTATGGAGTCTTTAGATCTGCTAAGTTCCTATTAATCCATTCCCGTGTGGAAACTGAGGCTCCAGGTGAGGAAACAGGTCAATCACGCATCTTTAAGTCACAAACAACAGAAATCGTGGCCAGAAGGAAGCCTGAGGCCCAGCCCAAGTCGGGGCTGGGGTGAGGGGGTGGGTTTGGCGGTTGTGATGAGACGGACCCAGCCCACCTGTAGGCAACACCATCCTTGCAAGCCTTCTTCCCCTGAGTGCGGCCGTAATTCATCTTTAATTTCTGCCGCTGGGTCTGCGGAGCAGCTAATCATGAGCGCTAATTACTGCGACAAGGCTTCTCCCTTCTCTTTTTATGTTTCCATATTAGCCTGTTTAGTATGCTTTGTGTCTGTTTATTTTATGGCCGGAAATACTTTTAATAGCCTAGTAAATTGAAAATGGACTTCACGACCATCTGACTTCACCGGAGTTTTACAACCATTCAATTAATGGTATCAGTAATCTTCCTTCATAATTAGGCGGTTAGTAGCTTTGTGGAGCACTGCTGTTAACTAAATTAGAACTCAGTAACCACCTAATCGTATTTTGGGGGGCTCCAAATGGGAATCCAGCCAGCTTGGGGGCTGCCAGGATGGAGAGACACGATTAGCTGGCTGTAAATACCGCCTGCAAATGTATGGTTTATTACGGTGATAACGGGCTTTGTAGCTCACATAAATCTGCGGGTTCCCGCTGACAGAGGAGAAATGGGCTCGCCTTGGTTGCTAGGAAATAGAGTTAGTTCCTGGGTCTCACATGCTCCATTGCCTTCTCCTGGCAGCTGATGGATTCTCTACATGAGGGGGAGCTGCCAAGAGTCACCCCACAGCGGAGGGAGAGGGCATCAAATCCGGTTCCCTCTGGAGTCCACACCCAAGTGAGTCCATTCCAGGCAAGCTACGCCAGTGAACACAGCACAGCCACTGGTGAAAGACACGGGGGACCGGAAGCTTAGATAAGAGCCTGGGAAGGCCACAGCGGATTGTGAGCGTCAGAAAACAATCCCAGTCCCTCATCTGCCCGAGACTGGCTGCCAACTGTCACATTCTGAAAGGAGACAGATTGTTGAAGTGCATGCGAACTGGTAGCTGCACCCTCTCACTCAAGTGATCCTCTTTCCATATATTTACACCACTTAACTCCCTCCGATGTATTGGACAAGGAAAAAAGGGTACTTAAAAAAAAACATAAATGTTCCTTGTCAGATACATTTTAATAGCCCAAATATTTTTCATAATAAAAAGCAAAAAAAAAGGCTAATTGCATAAGGTAATTTATTCAGTTAGATATGTGACACTCCCCAGATGTCCAGAGAGCAGGTTCAAAACCCTGAATAAAGAAAGCTCTATGCCCCCTTCCCCAAAAAACCACCAACTATGTCTGCCAGTTTTCAAATCTCGTAAACTCATGAAGTTGGTTAAACTTTGAACTTTGGCTTGGTTTTGGATAACAAGAACCACCGGGTAGTTGTCTGAGGAAGAAGTGTTTTGTAGAGCAGGTAAAACCATACGTACTCTCTGGGCTGCATGGTTTTGTTACCTTACATCTGGAAGCCAATGCTACGGACGCAAACTGGCTGCTAAGATAGTGTCCCTGTGCCCTGGCTGTGTGACTCTGGCAACTTGCTCATCCTTTGTGGGTCTGTGGATCAGCTGTAACACTGAGATCCTCTTCTCTCATGATGGAAGGAAATGACAGAAGGGAAACGCTTACCCCAGAGAGTATGTATGATCTGAGGAGATCTGCAGATCTGAGGAGAACTCACCTCCTTTCCTTTCTCCTGCTCTCACTCCCTGAAATGCCCAAGCAGACTCTGCTCCCTTCCATCCAGCTCAGCAAGTGCCATGTTCTCTAGAAGACTTGATGACGCCCATGCTCAAGACACTGTTGGTCCAGCGGTTTGCTTAGCTCTACCTGTTGGGGACTTGAGGTATCTTCTGCAATCTGCATAAACAGCCCCCCATGGTTCTGTTGTGGGACTTCCCTTAAAATAAAAAATACCTCCAGAAAGATGGTGACACTTCATGACTCCAGGAGACAGAAAAGCAGGAATCAACTCTATGAGAAACTGAAGAGAAAGTGCTGTACCACGTGGCAAGTGAGTTAGCCGGTCTTATCAGAATCATATTGGGTGACATAAATTTTTTCACCCCCCCAGAGAACTGACCTCTAAGAGTTGCAGAAAAACCCCCTCTACACTTCAAGCCCTGCTTGTCTACTATCAATTTCCCTCCTCTTATTTGTGTGTATGTCTGTGTGTGTGTGTTTCTGTCTATATATGTATATGTATATACACATGCACACACATATGAAAGCCAGAAGATAACCTTGGGTATTTTTCCTCAGGCATCATCCTGACAGGCTCTTTCATTGACCTAGAACTCACAAAGTAATCCAGGCTGGCTGCTCAGTGAAGTACCATGGACCTGTCTGTCTCCACCGCCACAGTGGTGGGATTATGAGGACACACCTCCATTTTGATTACTTTTACATGGGCTTGAATCACGCCATAGCCCTTGCCTTTTCAGCACTTCACTGAGTGATCTTTCCAGCCCACGCTCTTTCCTCATTTTTGAGACAGGATCTCTGTAGTCTACCCAGGCTGGCCTTGAACTCTTGAGCTCTGGCAACCCTTCTGTCTCAGCATCTCCAGTAGTAGAGACTATGGGTGTGCACCAACATGTCTGGCTCAGTTCACCTGTATCATCTGGAAGAAGCCAAGGAGGATGAAGAAGAAAGAAGGCAAAAGGAGTCAGGGAGGGGTGGCAGACACTGGATGGAAAGGACTTTGTAAGTCACTGGAGGGAAGTCATACTCTATTCTAAGACAGTGGAAAGCATTAAAGAGTCTAAGGTATGTAAGTGGTAAGGCTGGGACATGTATAACAGTGGGGTACAGGGGTGAAGTGGGGCAGAGCTCAGAACTCTGCTATAGATGGAGGCAAAACCCTCCAGTTGCCCTGGGTACCGAGTCTGCTGCATAGGATGGAGTGATCGCTAAAAGCGCCCATCAGGAGCAGCCAGCTCCAGATTCTCTGAGTGCACAGCCTGTAATGCCATGCTGGGTACTCAGCTGTGTCAGGCCAACTGAGGAATGAGGCTGTGCACCAGTAATTTATGTACCTGTTTGAACTCTGGGCTTGCAAATAAATTTAGTTCCTGGCCAACAGCCTAAGCACGTGTGCCGGCTGGAGGGCTGCCATGGAGGCAGGCAGGGCGGTAATTGAGAGCAGATGACATCCTGCCGGGCTGCTCTTGGAGGGAAGGAGCCACCCACCACCACCACTCCCTGCTTCTCCTGTCCCACTCCAAGCCCTGGGGAGCAGGGACCAGGCCAACTAAGGGGCAGAGCTCAGCTCAAGACAGAACCCCGCCCCCCGGAGTTCTGTCTTGTTTCCAAGGTCGCACTTACACCTGGCGTGAACCTGAGCAAATGAATCTCTTGGAACCTCAGATTGCTTGCTGTCAGATGGAACAATGCAGCTACCTACACTCCAGGTCGTGGCAAGGGTGAACTAACCAACATACAGCAATGTGCTGCTTAACACCAGGATGATAATGAGACTTGGAGGAGAGTGTTGAGGGGATAAATTCACTGAGAAGCATCCCAGGACATGTTCACACACCCAGCTGCTGTAGTGGCCCTGCCTTGGCTCTGGCACCCACAAGGCATGGCCTGTTGCTGCCTGTATCAGGATGCCCCAAACAACAGGAGCTTAAAGCAGGCACAGGGAAACTGAGGCACTAGAGATTCTTTTAATAAAAGATGCCTAAGGCAGCATCTGGTGTAATATGGTATGGAGGTTTAAAGAAAACCTTCTTATAGAAAAAAGGAGTGCATGCTAAAAGAAAGAAAGTATGGTAGAGACAAGGTGCAATGTAACCCACTCACTGCCACGGTTAGTCATGATGTGATGCTCCAAACTGCACTGCTGTATGCTTGCATGCATGCAGGAGTGTATTTGTGTTGTGTGCACATGCACACCCACCTCTCTCTCTCTCTCTCTCTCTCTCTCTCTCTCTCTCTCTCTCTCTGTGTGTGTGTGTGTGTGTGTGTGTGTGTGTGTGTGTGTGTGTGTGTGTGTGTGTGTGGGGGGGGGGGTGCTGTATGGAGGCCAGAGGTCAACCTCAGGTGTTGTTCCTCAGGTGCCATCTGCCTTGTATTTTTGAGAAGGAGTCTCTCTCATTGGCTGGAAGCTTGCTGGTTGGGTTAAGCTGACTAGCCAGTGGGCCCCAGGGATGCGCCTGTCTCGGTAGCCCCAGACCTGGGAATACAAGTATATACCACTATGACAGCTTTTTCACATGGCCTATGGGGTTTTAACTCGGGTTCCTAGGCTTGTGTGGCCAGCCTTTCCAGCTGAGACCCTTTCCCAGCCCTGTAATGCACTTTTATGTGATTGGCAGTGTTTTTGAGCACCAACTTTATCACCAAAATGTAACTCCTTATGCTATGACTTCACAACAAATCACTTGGACACTGAGAATTTTCTGTGCTTTATAATCTTTCTAGACAACCATCGTCCTCATGGACCACTAGTAAAATGTCACCATATGGGTTGCATGTGTGTGTTTGTGCACACACACATGCTACTTAGAGCACGAGCTTGGGTCCTACTCACTGCTGATAGTAGTCTTACTATCACATGGACCCAGGCCATCACTGGACATTGTCCCTTCAATCATTAAGTTGCCACCCTGTGTCCGTGGTTTAGATGCTGAAGACACAGAGACAAACAACACAATCTAGTTTCCTCAGAGTCTCCTTCACAGCTTAGTTTTTAAAAGATCTGTTTTATTTTATGCATAGTGATGTTTGTCTGCAGTATGCATGTGTACAGTGCTCATGGAAGCCAGAAGGTGTGAGATTCCCCCCAGCCAAGTGGGTGCTGGGAATTGAACTAGGGTCCTCTGGAAGAGCAGCCAGTGCCCTTAACTGATGAGCCATCTCTCCAGCTCCTCATAGTTGCAGTTTAAAAAAGAATTTAACCCCCAAATTGAGGAGAAACTTGACAATTCCTTGCATTTCTATAAAGCTGAGGAGTGCATCATCTAAATAGCTCCCCATTGGGTTGCTGAAATTTCTTCCCTGGAGACATGTATCTGCCTCCTTCTCTATGTGCCAAGAGCAAACCAAAGTTCAATGCTACCACAGTGCACCCTGGGGAACCAATGTGTTTTGCTGACTGTCCTTAGAGAGTAAAGGTCAAAGGTGACTGAGAGGAGTGGGGGTGAACCTAAAGCAACTACATAGGAAGGCTTCTCTGCATCTTCCTGGATGACATCCCAACCCTGACTGTGTATAAATGCCTTTCCCATGGTCTCCCCAACCACATACTCAAGCTATGCCCCAAGACCCCAAACCACAATAGGGCCAAACGACATATAAACGGTTGAGAGGAGTAGCAAGATCCTCAGGCAAGGGTCCAGTAATTCTTCTAGGAGAGAATACCAGCAGTTCACAGGTCCAGTTGTGATGGCTGATGTCAAGAAGATGCAGCTGACCTCAGGAGCATGAGAGGTTGGTGCCGCAGAGAGAGGGAGATGCTGCTGTGACTCTGAGCCTCAGGAGTTTCCACTTAGGCGTCCAACAGCCCAATGAAGAACTGGCTTTACCACCCACATTTTATCGAATGGTGTGTGTGTGTGTTCTTAGAGATTCCACCAACTGGGTAATATCAGAATTTCCGAATGATCTCCCCACTGCCAGGACACAGTGCCTAAGCCATTGTGGGGTCTGTTGTCTTCAGGTGACATGTGTTGGTGGGAAGCAAGGAGCAGCGGGCATAAATTTCAGCCAGAGTAATTAAAGCAGGGACTTCTGAGAATAGGGACTAAGATGGATGGGCGAGGGTCAGCAGGGGACGTGCTGACACTTTCCATAAGTTTAATGTGTTCTGTCTGGAGGCAAGAATTCAATTAATTCATTTCTCAAGGTGCAATACTGACTTCAAGCCCACTGGACAGTGGCCATTCTGCCTTTCGGAGGCCTGGAGTTAAAACGTGTTACTTGCTGTCTTTGTCTTGCCCTGGACACCACAAAACACAAGGACCTCTGCTGGCCGGACCCTCCGGAATGAAAGGCCTGGTGAACAGCTCTGAGCCCTGAGAAAGCTTCAACACATGGCCCCTTAATTAGCCTTACAGCTAAGCAAAGTGGGCAAAGCCTTAATGCCGGTGCTTGCGGGTGGCTGCAGCCAGGGTCCATGCTGCCTGGGGGTGCTGTGAAAGGGCTGCAGGTGGACGTGGGCGTCCCAACAACTAGGAGGCTCCCCTGCAGGGCAAGCCAAGGCTGCTTAGCATACTGCTATGTGTGTGACAAGTTTTCTTGGTGTTCTTGTTTGGTTTCAGTTGATGTGATAAACACCACGAGCCACAGCAACTTAGGGGAGGAGAGGTTTGTCTGACTTCCAAGCCGTAGTCCATCCCCGAGGGAAGCTGGCCTGGTGAGTGATTGGGTTTTTTTTCCAACATGACAAAACTTAGACTCATCTGGGAAGCAAGAACCTCAGTTAAGAGAATACCTCCATCAGACAGACCCATAGGCAAGCCTTCAGGGCACTTTCTTAGTTGATGATTGATGTGGATAGGCATAGGCCACTGTGGGCAGTGCCACCCCTAGGCAAGGGGGGCCTGAGTTATATGAGAAAGCAGGTGGAGCAAGGCAGGAAAGCAGTGTTCCTTCACGGTCTCCGCTCCACATCCTGCCTCTGGATTCCTGCCTTGGCTTCCTCTGACGACAAATTGGAACCTGTAAGCCAAACAAACCCTTTCCTCCCAAGGTTGCTTTTGGTCAGGGTCTTTATCAAAACAACAGAACTAAGACAGGCGCCCAGGGAAGCACTGCCCACGGCGGGCTAGGCCCTCCCACATCACCGTTAATGAAGAAAATGTCGAAAATGTCCCATGGACATGCCTACAGGCCCATCTGATTGAGACAATTCCTCAAGCAAGGTTTCCTTTGCCCAGGTGACTCTAGTTTGCATCAAGTTGACAAAAAAAAAAAAAAAAAAAAGAAAAAAAAAAAA